GCCCTATCAAAATACTTGAAAATTTAATACAAAGTTCCTAATAAGTTATTCTTATAGTGATTAAAAAATTATAAAAATACATAGGCACAATTTTTTTTTATTAGCATTTATTGAAGTTCAAATATTGACTTAATACGTAAAAATTACGGCAATTTTCAAATTATCTTAGATAGAAATTCATAAAAAATTTTCTTTTTAAATTTAAGATTTGAAAATTTTTAATAATCTATAATATACCCTAGACAGATAAACCATCTCCATTCTCCGTTCAGAATCGTTTTTCGTATACAATGATACCTATCATTGCATTCAAATTTAACCTACCCTAATCAGAGGTCCACCCCACTCCTTAATGTACAGCAGAGCGATACCTACTTAACCGYTTTTTTTATATTGAGGTCTAGTAAGTACTCTTGTTGGGTATGACTGTTCCACGTTTCATGCACACAAAATATGAGCTGTTATTTATTAAATTTAAGTTTACTTATTACAACAATAAGTAAGTTCTTTTATCTGTTTGCGTTTCATAAGTAAATATAAGATAACTTACTGTAAAGAATGAAAATCACGAATGATGATTTATAATATTTGACATTTTTGGATAGTTTTAGATAATCATTGGTCGTAGACGATAGTGAAAATAGAACATATGACTAATTACTTTTAACCGAGCATCACGGTTTTGGCTTATAGATGTTTTTAAATAATAGTATAGAAAAACAGAATAGGAATTGTTTAACTTTTAAACAAAAATTACTCAGGAACTAACTAGCATCTATTYTAGGTATACCAGCGCGTCATAGCCATATTAAAAACTAGTATATCCTAAAAAAAAAAATACTGGATCCATCCAGATTCTAGGACATATCTTCAATCTCTTTTTAATCATTCTAGAACTATTATAGATCCAATTTTGGTCAGTGTTTCAACTCGTTACGGTGAGTTGTGATTAATTATTCATTCATATTAAAAATTATAACTTGTGAACACTGAACAATATCATAATGAAGTTATTAATTTAATGTTATCCAGATCCACTGATATTAAACATAGGCCATAGCTTAATACATTTAAAAACAAGTTCAATCATGATTTTATATGAATTATAAAAATATGAAATTTTTAAATTATGAACGCGAAAAAGGTAATAATTATAAATGATGTGGCACAGATGGGTCACAGGTATCGCCGGTATCGGTGATACTCGTTTGCGCACAGTACACAATTTTTTACCTGTAAACTGACAACTCGTTTGCGTCCATCGAAAAACGTGAAAACCCAGTTAATACTAATTTTAGATCGCTAAGATATGGTATATATTCCAGTGCTGAGCACCATATCCGGATCATCCCGTATCCGGATTACTGATCCGGATTGAAACAAAAGTGTCAATCCGTTTAATCCAGATTAAAAATCCAATGCGGATTAAAATATCCAATCAGGATTATGATATAATTCCGGTATAAAAATAAAAATATATAATATATAGTTTATAGTTTTTATAATAGTGCTGAGCATTACCATTTCTTCATATGGGTTATTTCCATTATCGCGACATACATATACTTCTTAAAAGTAATTGTTGAAAAATGAAAAAAAATATTAATTTATTMGAAAAATCAATAAAATAAACTTAAACACCTTTGCTTTTTATTTCAAAACCGCATGGCGTTAGATATTAATTGCGTACATACTATATACACCCACATAAAAAATTCATTTTTTATTAATAAAAATAGTAAATACCAACTTGTTACTTTCTAAATCCTAGCTCCTACAACCGTTTAGGTAGATGTCTAATAATAAATTGTGAAAAACTCGAAAACCCTGGTGTATTTACTATTAGGGGTCTTATAACATTGAGTCGATTGTCAATATCAGCTCTTATCACTATTATTGTAATAATTTAACTTTTTAAATTTGATTATTGTATTGAAATTATGATATTGAGTTTGCTGAAATAAATAAATAAAATAAAAAAATAGATCTGAGATCGTAATTCGTATTATTTAGGCTGATAATAATGAAAAAATTGCTGATTATCTCAAAAACAATGAAGCCGGATTGAATCCGAAATCCGGATCAACGGATTGATCCGAAATTCTGATTAATTAATTGTAATCCGTAATCCGGATTGGTCAAAATAATGCTCAGCACTATCAGTACCTATATAATATTAAGTCACATGTGGACCACGGAGGCACGGACTAAGATATCTTAGTCTGCGATGTGGACATAAATACATAATGTGTGGTTGACGGTTGACAGTTGTGGACCTAAGCCCTAAGGTTCACTCACTCACTCTACTATGGTTAGGGCACTTGGTTTAGGCCGTTTAGGCACTTCTTTAGTGCCTTACTATGGTGATTGATACTTGTAAGTTGTAATCACGACGAAACAGCTGATGGTCATGGAAAATTCAGTTGAGGTTTTTTATCAGCTTAAAGAATTTAGAAATTGATAAGTGATAGTTCACTGCCTTACTTACTCGACTACTCCTGCCAAGTATAAACTTCAAAATAATTTACTGAAATTTTTTTGTTTGTCGCTTTGTCCTTCAAAATGTCTTACAAATATTTAAAAAAAGTAAGTATATCTTTATTTCTTGAAACAATTGCGTTTAAATTATTAATTAAATTAATTATTATTTAAATTTGTTACACATGTTTGCATTTAAACTGWTAAACGCAAYTTATAAAAACATACAACATTACAATTATTAATAACACACTAATGAACTTACCAGCGGTTTGCCCAAGTTTATTATTTGTATTCCAATAAGTTATTAATTAATGCAAATACTTTTTAGACAACTGGTCTCACAAGACTTAATGTTGCAAAAAATCCTCACTATACTCTAGGAGTATTGTACGGAAAAATTCTGAGGACTTTGCGTAAAATGCCAGAAGATGCAGCGTATCGAAAATATACTGAACAAATAATAAGCAATAGAGCCAAAATCGTTCAAGAAGTATTTATATCAATATATAATTGTAAATAAAGTTTATAACCTACTCATTTTTGATTTAGACCGTAGCAGTAGAAGATTTTGAAAAGAAAATTAATTGTGGACAAGCTGAAGAATTAATTGTACAAGCTGAAAATGAATTGGTCTTATCCAGGCAGATGTTAGCATTTAAACCATGGGAACCGTTAATCGCCAAACCAAGTGCTGACCAATGGTCCTGGCCTCCATCAAAGTAACTTGTTTAAATATCGTAAAATAGTTTGATTTCATTTTGTTAGATTATTTAAATATGTATTCAGCAAAATGTTGAGTTTTTATTAATAAAGTGATACATAAGGTAATGCTTTTTATTAAATAWTTAGTAAATAATCTATGTGTAAAGTGTACTTAAATATACTTAACAATTTAATGTGAAATAAAAAACATGTATTATTTAAAAAATAAAAACAAAAATATAATTCTTGCAAAAAATAAAACAATAAGTGTTAAAAAAAATGTTAGAAAATATTTTATGTATAAAATAAAATTAATGGTAAATAATTACATACCAAATTATCTTAATTAAATTCATATGCAAATGAATTTATTTAACAGTAACAATAATCAAAATATTAATCTACAAATGTAATTATAAACATTAATAAAACTTTAATGAAGCTGAGCATTCTTCTCACATTAGTCTGCAAYAATAATCATGCAAGACATAAAAGTTGTGTTGAAGTAACTTATTGGGATTCTAATTGTGTGGATGGAACATAACTAACAACTTCTTCCCAAACAAGTTCTATAACATAAAAAATATGAAAAATGTAATCAAAAATTAATTAATTAATTATTTTATTAATATAATATAATATTGCTTTTATGGTGACCTTTTAACAATGACAGTTTAGATGAGTGTACCTATGCCTAGTCATACATAAACAAAGCTCATAAATTAACATTCAATAATTCAAGTTAGAAAAAAAATATACACTGWTAAAAGAATGGAATTTCAGGCCACTCGATAAAAAAATAATTTATTCTAAAGATACATACAAAAACTAATAATTTTTATTAAAAACTGTATTTTTTCAACTACACCAATGTTAGAATGACGATAAAAACTTTACTTAAATTATGAAAAATATAAAATATTCAAAATAAGTACTTCACCTTTCCATTTTTCTACATTTAATTCCATGTCTTCAAAACTTTGATCATATGGAGGTGAATTTGGTTCATCAGATGGATCAGCATATTGTGCCAGATACGGATGTGCAAGTGCTTTTTCAGCAGTCATTCTTTTATCAGCGTCCAATTCCAACATTTCTTCTAATAGTTTAATTGCTGTCCACAAAATAATTAATTATGAACTAACACAGTAGTCTTAAAATTAAAACTTTACCTAATGGATTAGCTCCTTTGAATACTTCAGCAAAATCTTTTTTCGGCATTACTGGTAAAGACTGTATATATTTTTTTGCCTAAATATAAAATTAAATCTTAAAACACAAAATATTGATTTAAGCAAACGTTACCACAACCAAATAAATGACAAATTTATGACACACAAACCTCCGAACTTTTAATTTTATTTAAATATTCATCGGACGGCATTCCACACAAAACTAATACACGCATTAAATGATTCACATCTAATTTTAGACGCTGTTAAGGATTATAAGCATTCAAATTATTGTATATGGCACTTACCGATTCACTGGATATCTTTTGCATCAGTTCATTYGATGGGGTGCCTAATATTTCCAAAATCAAATTTAATTGTTGTATGTCTTTAAATATATTATAAGAAAAATATATTCTATGTTAGATTTTCTTCAACAGTAAATTAGTATAGAAGACTTATAATTATTTAAAAGGATACGATCTGTGCCAGGAAATAATGTCCTTCCAGTTAAAAGTTCAGCCATAATACAGCCTACTGACCAAATATCAACTATAGTTAAAAATAAACAAATAAGTGAAATTAATAACTTTTACAAGGAGTATTACAAATATTGTAAACAATAAATTATAATATCACTTTTTTATGGCTTATCAAAATCAAGATAAAAATATCAAATTAATGAGCTAATGAATTATATGAGGTTCAATTTTTATTTAAAATAATCAAAAAAGCAATTTTAAATTTCATAATTGACCGTGTTGTGACATGAAATGAGACACACWTCCATAGTACTTCCACTCAGCTAGACTGTATGTTAAAATATAAATATAAGCCTATAATATAATAAGTCACAAATTCTGAATTAATAACTGTTAARTACATAAAATGCATTATGCTAGCATAGTTTGTATGTTTATAGCGCATACAATACCATATCCTAATAATAACGCTATTGCCTATTATATCTGTATACACATCTTAAAATAAACAAATCATCTCAAGCACTATTACTACCGTATTTCAACACTTATATTTAACTCCCATTAATGAGTATTAATATCTTCCACATTTGATATTCACCACTCAAAGTTTTGAATCTCAATATATTATGAAATTCAGTCAATTGAAATATTAAAATTGATGTTTATCATAAGACATTGAAAAATTAAATGTAAATATGTTATAAATATATGTCTATAAACTAAACCTGTCTGATTATAATGCATCCAATTTAACATTATCTCAGGTGCTCTGTACCATCTGGTAGCCACATAACCAGTCATTTCACTTTCAGTTGGCCGTGCTAACCCAAAATCTAATATTTTTAGCTCGCAATCTTCATTTACACCAATATTTGATGGTTTTAAATCCTAAATAAATGTAACAGAAATAAAATGATAAATAGTATTCATTGTGTAACAGGAAGATTTGATAAATTAAATAACTTTTATTCTAGTCAATATTTTTTTAATATATAATTTATTAACATTTATGTTTTATTAAATATAATAAAACATTTTTGGGGGGGTGAAGTGSCCGAGCGGTCTAAGGCGTCGGTTGCGATGCACGTAGTCGCCGGTTCGAATCTCGGTCACGGGCGGCATCGCTCTTTGGGCATTTTGCGATGTCTGGAGAGAGAGGCCGCCGGCCCCYAACAGGGCATGGCAGAAACCCACGGGTACCCATTCAAAATTYTGCCAAAAAAACCCACGAGAGTTAAAACCTTACAGTACCTTCCCCTACTACAGTTCCCCAGGCTAATGACCTCAGTTGTCAATGCCCTAACCATAAAAAAAAAAAAAATTTATAAATTTGATGTAAATCTTTTTTGAAATTTCAAAATATCGAACTTGGAAATATAATTGTTTAGAAAAATATAGACTGTAAAAACATTTTAAATTCAATAAAGTGGATAACACACTAGACGATTCAAACACGCGTCTCCACACGTTTCAAACGTCGCGATTAATCGCCYAAAATTAAACATATACTTTTATATGGACTTATTCACATATGTAAATGAAACMCGCGTTCRTTGGCGTTCAAACGCGCCGAAACGTTCATGTTTAATTTTGAGCATAAAGCGCTGATAAACATGTCGACACGCTTCTAATGTGTAAGGAACGCGTCTTCGCGTCTTAAAATTGCGACGTTCGAATCGCCTAGTGTGTTATCCACTTAAGTATACATTATTTTTTTATTTTCAGTGTTTAAAAATAAAAATTAATGTTATTAAACATTTAGCACAAATGTCAATAAATTATAAAATAAAAAAAWAAAAAWAAATATTAGTTAAACAAGTTATTTCATTTGCCCGGTCTTCCGGTTATATTCTGTATAATACACCAATAAATTTTACATACTCTATGGATTATACCAGCAGAATGGATATACTTCAGACCTCGTAAAATTTGGTAAACAAGAAATTGGACATGATCATCAGATAATTTTTGTGTACGTATGATATTATTCAAGTCAGCTCCCATTAAATGGGTGACCATATACCTATAAGTAAAATATTAATATTAAGAATACACAACTACACAAGTTTTATATTATACATAAACTTACAATTGATTAAAATTATTCATAGTGTTTGCAGGTGTGAACACGTCTAATAATCCAATCACCTAAATATTAAGAACATACGGTTAATTTTAAGAACTTGATTTTTTAAAGATATATAATATTCCCTCACTAATAAACAGAATATGAGATTTAAAGTTCTTGAAAACTTTGTAATAAATATGCAAATAAATTTTAAAAAACAATCATAAATAAGCTAAATAAAATCAGATCTCCCAAAATCTTATAATTAAATTCAAATATGTGACTTTTTAAACTGCATTAAGATAATTTATCTTTCCTCATTATGATAAATAAAAATGAAATTAATACATGAACATACACAACACAACAATCAGCGCAACCGAGAAGTCTGGGTTGTAAAAATTTTAATATGTTACAGTGAGTAATTTAAAAATGTTGATGTTTGAGTGACCTTTTTAAATATCCTTTGATGCATTAGGGCAGTATTTAATCAAACCATTTTCCTTCCCATTTTGATAATAAACTTTGAATAACACAACCGAAAATGAAAAGATCTGTTTTTCAAGTGGTTAGATTCACTAAAATACAATTTTCTCTCATGCATCATTTATTTTGTTTTAAAGTAAGTGTTTTAAATTTTAAGTACAATATTTGGTGCACTACAATATGTAATAATTAACATTAGCACTTCAACAAGTTCACATATCCAATATTCGAGAAACTCATATTTGTGCCATAATTATTAASTTAAGGTTGATTTAATATACTTACATTATATTTTATCTTTTATTACTATTGTTATTTTTTAATGTATTATTATTAATTATTATTACCATGTTAAAATAGAAAAAAAAATATTCTTTTGACATCCATAGATGAAGATAGCAAGAAATATTGTATTTTATAATAAAAAAAAAAATTATCTTAGACATTACTATTTTTATCTTTTGTATTGTATCATACTCACTAAAACAATGTATAAATAACTAACCCTAACACGTAACAGGTAAGAAAAATTTGCCCTAATGCATGATGTTCACACAGAATTTACCAATCCAGCATTATTGTGTATCATTAAATCAAYGATACATATTGTACTAAATGAGTTCATTGTTTTACTGTTCTCCTTCTACAATTTTTGGTATCAATTATTGCTAATTGATAATTTTGTCAGTTAATCACTTCCATTTATAATGTTGAATTAATTTTTACTTAACAAATGTATTTCATTAAGTATTAACCATTATGAGTGGTATTTAGTATACAAAATTTGCTATAAACTAACAATTTTTGTCTTAGTTTAGGAAACATAAAATATGACAATCCTCCATGTAAATTTTAAATCACTAGCATCAACTCAGTATTAGGTGATATAATACATGCCACATGGGCAAAATTATATTATAAACACATGTTTCGAAAAKAATGTATAGAAAAATATCAGTTGTGGCTACTACTAAGTACAAACTGCATTCAAGGTAGAAAATATATTTAAATTTAAATTTCTAACCTCTCTTCTAAGACTCTCCCGGATAACCCTCC